CCCCCCCCCGCCGTAGTCTCGTTCACACGTGGCCGAGCCCCCCTGAATGAATGTTCTGATACCTCGTCACTCGCCATGCATTGTGACGTCTGCAGGTCTGATTATTCTCTCATTCTTGCTTTTTATAGAGCCAGTCTTGCAATTTGCGAGAAAATTGGATTTCTTGAAATGGACGGGGTCTATCCATACGAGCCATAGGCGGATCTCAGGGAGGGGGGGCCGTAGGGAATGCACGCATCCCCCGTTGGCCCGAAAAAACCATTTAATTTCCTACTTTGTAATTAGTTGTTGCTGTTTCTGAGGCATCAATTGATATTTTACAGCCTCTTAAGTTATCCCATCTCAAGAGGGGTATACAACCCCTAATCTTCGAAATTCAGATGCCAAATCTTTTTCGGTGCCACTTGACGGAAGCGATGGTCGCGCCGGGGTAAATGAACCATCCTCGGTTGAGGTCGTAAATCCAACGTGTTTTGCCTCCTCACGCCTTGTCGAGTAGAGATAGGGGTTGTAAACGGGGGAGGGGGTGTTGAAAAACGCGGCAATCGGGAAGTGTGCCACTGCATGCCCGTACCCTCAACCCCCATTCATCTTCCTCACTTTTCAATGTTGCGGCTCGTATGAGACTGTAGGGGTTTATTTCCAAAAAACCTCTTCCATATAATTTGAAACTGACGCAAAAATGAATCGATCGAATGTTATACATGTATTCTTACGGGTCTCAGGGCTCGTGGTTTAATGCACATAGTTCTGTTTGATAGAAATACGTCCAAATGATCAAAACGCGATTAATTGACAACTGCGGGCTGATTGTTGAAATTGATAGACATAATCTATAGATAAAGAAGACATAAGGAGTATGGAGTATGGAGCGATCCTATTGGTTGAAACGGGTGCTTCTTGTGGGCTAGGGGAGCAAATAATGGAGAAAGGACTAACTAAAGGGTCTGCCGTTAACTTTTCTATTACTTTCAGACTTTGTCCATTGAAACCACCCACTTCCACAATAGGGCCCCTCCATATAAGTTTCGTCTTCTATGTCTATAGCTATGGCTAACAACTTCAAAAATCAGCTCGCTGGCCCATTCTCCCACAATTCTTACGAAGTATACTTATGGAAAGTTGTTTATCCGCATATTGCATCTATTTATCATGATTGATTGATAATAATATATCAAGGCGAACATGCATATTTTATTTTTAAAAATACATTGGATCTAGAGTCCAGACTCTTGAAAACATCGACAAGAAAAAATACTCTTGATTCAATCGGATTTTTGCTTAAATCAAGAACCAAGCCTCTTAATTGGAGCGGATTTCCTTTCGATTTAAGCAAAAATCCGATTGAATCAAGAGTATATTTTCTTGTCAATGTTTTCAAGAGTCTGGACTCTAGATTCAATGTGCTTTTTTTTCCAGTGTATGCATCTTTAGCTTACCATTCATTACCTCATTACCATTTGCTAAAGAGTACTTACCCTTGAAAAACTCTCGAAAAAAATCATTCTTTCTCAGTGCGCCGGCAACTTCGATCCACATTTCGGGAGCCCAGCGAAGCCGGCTGCCAAGACATCTGTTCTGAAGAACCGCCCATCTCCAACGGCACCACCCCGCAGATGCGTGGTTCCCGCCGAGCGGAGGATTCTTCCGGGTGCATTTGCGTAGGCAAGGGCGAGGAGCTCTATTTNTTGGGGGGGGGGGGGGCCGTCGAATCTGGCTCCTTTTTTACGACCTCGGCGCGGCGGCACATTACATCTCATCGGAGCGTCTGTTTTGTCTTACAAGCTGTAATCGTTTGTTTTTACTCGGGCCGACCCTCCGGGACCTCCGATCTCGGAAGGGTTAGCGTTTTACGATTACGAGCCGTGGGATGCCTGTGCGCAGCATCCCTTCCGCTTTCGACCCTCCTGCTCGCCCCCCCCCCCCCCNGGTCACCCTGCGCGTTCATTGATATAGCGGTGCGGTGACGTAACAAAATCTATCGAGATGATGGACCACCAGGGATGATTCTTACGAGATGATTTTTCTCAGTTTAAATGTATGTAAAGCAATCTCATAGAGAAAAAAACGGAGGTGTTTGCATTTCGGGCATCTTGGAATTTTTTTGATGACGTAGGTCGGTACCGCGACTTTTATCATCGATTTTCTTGGAAATGGTGTAGTGTATGGAAAAAAATGCAAACAACATTAGGTGTTTGGAATTAAATCATAGTTGATTTGAGCAAAAATGGTCCGTTTTTCATACTTCGAATGCCGGATTTCGCTAACCAGGTTGTACCGACCTACGTCACATGGTAAACAAACCCCAAGGTGCAAACAACTGCTTTTCTTCTCCATGAAGCAATCTATGTTAATTAAGATGCCGTTCATTAGGTGGGCGTATTGGACGTATTTAAATCGAAAGAAACTATGTAAATTCTAACATGATTGGATACTAAACGTAATCGGAAAATTACACACACTGCAATAGAGATAAGAATTTCCGAATCAAGCCATCGCCATTTTGTTGGAGTAAAGTTGCTGTGTAAAATTTTTTAAAAACATGTTTTAGTTATTGCTGAGAATAAAATATTTTTGAAGATCAAGATAAAACGTTCTTGAGACAAACTTGTTTTTCGGAGTGCAATAATGGCAGATCTCTCCATGATCAAGAGAGAACTGGATATATTCACATCAAAAAGAATTATGTACATTCTGACATGAGCCCTGGGAGCCAAAAGAATACAGACATGACAGGGCTCATAATGAATATTGTTCCTTATAATTTAAATGTGTCCAGTTCTCTCATAAACGTGGAAACATTTCCCTTAATTGCACTTCGAGAGACAAGTTTGTTTCAAGAACGTTTTATTTTGATCTTTAAAAATTGTTTATTCTCAGCAATAATTAAAAATAGTTTTAAAACATTTTACACAGCACCTTTAATCCAACAAAATAGCAATGGGTAAATTCGGAAAATGCGTATATCTATTGCAGCGTGTCAAAATCTCCGATTATTTTCAATTTTCAAAAAAAAGGAACAAAATATCCCCTCGAAATTTTTTGCAAATGTTTTAGAACCAGTGAAGAAATTCTCCAGGAATTTCAAAAAAAAACTCTCGGTCAATTTCTTTCCAAAAAGTTGAGAGGAACAATTTATGATTTTGCAATTATGAGGTCCTCATTTTTCGACATTAATCATAAAAGGTGCTGCTAATCAGTAGTGGAACTACATTAATGCGTATCTCAGTTTGCACCGTTGGAGACTTCCTGCCTTGCTGTATTTTCTACTTAGAAAACTACTAAGCGTTACTTCTGGAAAACCTCGGTGATTTTTATTTCTCTATGTGAGAAATTTTCTGGGAAAATTTCGAGCCATAATTTTGATTGGGTCTCCTTTAAAAATTAAAAAAGCGGCGGAGATTTTGAAACACTGCAACTGCGATACGCATTTTTGCAGTTTTACCGTCGTTATGAAAAATCGTGGATATTTTCTTCCAGAGTTATCAAGTGCACTAGATTAAATCACGAATAAAATACTCCCAAAATGATCGGAGCGGAGGGAGTCATTTTTCCTTAAGTAATGCACGATCAAAAGAAATTTAGCAACATCCAGACAGTCGCGCCAGACGGCCTTCCTCCAAAGAACGGTGGTAAAAGTATGGGGTATTTGACCGTGACAAACTTGACATGGGCGCTAATATTTTCATTGTGTTCGACCGCGCGCCAGATCATAGACTTTAATGAAAAAGAGTAAGATGTGCTTTGTTTTATTTTTTTCTCTCGTCCATCACCCCTCTCTCTCATTCTGAGGAAAATCCTGCTCAGCGATTTTTGTTGCCATTGGTCATTGAGATATTTTGTCTGAGCACGTCCGATGCACGAGATGACGTGATCGCGACATGACATTGGTCCAAAGTGGACAATCTCCAGCCTCACCCGGTGCCAGTTACTTTAGATTCAGATTGTGTGCGCCTTGGTCCCGCCTTATCAACAAGTGTGGAATCAGCTCCTTAAAATCAGTATTTCCTCAATCAGGATCTACAGGTAAATTTATTTTATTTAAACTGCCTAAAAATGATCAATTCAGTGCAAAAAGATACATACTCTTTTCGGTTGTTTTGAGATAAGGGAAAACCCGGTTGTTGGCAAGTGTTGAATCAGCTCCTCAAAATCAGTATTTCCTCAATCAGGATCTACAAGTAAATATTTCAGCTCCTTAAAATCAGTATTTCCTCGATCAGGATCTACAGGTAAATTTCTTTTATTTAAACCGCCTAAAAATGACTATTTCACTATACAGTGCAAAAAGACACATACGTTTTTTCGGTTGTTTCGAGATCTGAGAGAAACCGGTTGGTGGCCGCATTCATTGCAATGTAATCCGCAATTTTTGACATAACATCTCGGGGTCAACGCTTGATAAGGCCACCAAATTTTTAGCAGCGTTGGAGATTTATTGCGGGTATTTTCAAAATTCTGTTTCCAACTCTGTTTTTCAAAAAACGTCGTTTACCAGACTAACGAATATAGCTTCATTTCAAATTAGCAAAATTTTCAGTCGGAACTTTTAGTTTTATCCTCGCACACGTAAATGGTGCCGCACAAGTCAACAATTTAAAAAAAAAAAAAAAAAAAAAAAAAAAAAAAATTAAACACTTGGATCATACATAAAACTTGACGAACTCGAGACGCGTTTAAGCACCCTTTGCGTCATCCTCTGCCGCGAATCGACTTGATTGACGCCGAAGGTGTCGGAACTTGTCCCAAGTTTTAAGTGTAGTACAGATGAGTAAATTTCCATTAATTTTTTTCAATTTTTTTTTTTAAATTGGCTCTACCAGGAAAACATTTTGCACCTCTAAACGTCAATCTCACTGAATTTTCCTTTTTGCTGTAGGGTACAGATATGTCATAAAAAACTCCTTGATGTAACAGAGCCCGGGTTAATGATGACTTGGATCACACTCAGCAAAAAGGAACCAGTGCAATTACAGTGGTTTCAAAATCGTGCAACTTCTCCTTTTCTTAAAAAAAAATACTTAATATAAGTACAGTATTAAAATTTACGCACTTATTTTCCTTTAAAATTAACAATCTTTCGGTGAGAAGCCAAAACTATTTGCTATTCACGGAGATTTCTTTAATAAATATGAAGAGGCAACAATTTTACAACACTGTAATCACGTTGGTTCTATTTTGATAAATGCGATCCATTTAAAGTTCGGAATTCAAACCCAGTTTTTTTTGGAAAAAGGTTCTTGAAATTCTGTTCTACCAGATTAGAAGCCGTATCAATGTGCAATTTGCCATGACTCAGATTTTAAACAAAACTAAAGTTATCATACACGCCCAATCGGTTTGCACTTGTCGTCTAATTATAAGCTTTACTTCCACTCATATGTATAATTTCCTTAACCTACTTTTTTCGGAAGCTCTCTCTCCATTCGCAGCTTATGGTATCAACTTTTCACTCTGACGTCAATATCAGGTGTTGGTAACAAGCCAAGGGTAGAGCAAACGATTTCGAGAGAATTACCTACGTGAGTGAAAGTTATTAGTTTTATCCACTTAGTCCTTTATAACCGCGGTTGAGCCGGTGGATAGAAGAAAAATATGTAAAACTTCCTTAAAAAATATGTTTTATAATTATAAGAATTTTACATTCCGAATTTTCAAAGGCACGGGTATTTTACTTACAGTAAGTACAAATGACATAAAAATGCAACTATTTAAGGCTCATGAGTAGATCTGATCCATAAGTATTTGTTTTCACTAATTACAAAATCCATAAATCACTGAACATTGAGCCATCAAACCATGACTTTTCATCCAAAAATTCGATGAAAAAACTAGCACCAAAACTTGCACGGACCGATTTCTAAACGTATCAATTCTCCAGATAATTCAAGTATGACGGCTTTCCCAAACTTTGTCTACCTGCCAACGTGACAATACCCTTGGTTATGAGTATTTGAGGCAGTCGTTGTAGTAAACCGCTTGAGAGGATTCATTCGGCAGGAAATTGACCGGTGCTTGACTTGATGCAACGACAGGCTTCCTCTCCGTTTGATAACTTCGTAAACCTGAAACAAATGATTTAATTATGAATGCTGACTGAGATAAAATAAAATAAAAAAAAAAAATATTTAAAAAATGGGTAGAAGCGAAACAAGGAAACAATGGAAACAAGGCTAAAATACATAAAAATACACGGGAAGTTTTGATGTCTCGCGAGACCATTATCAACTGCTAAGAGAGTACAAAAATAAAAAAGAAATTGAAATCAAAAGAAACCAGCACGGCGTTAAATGGTGTTGGTAATGAAAAACTGCAGTAAAAACTTGGTTATTGACTGGCTTCTCAAACGGTGGTGTTCTATCCCGACCCTAATATTGTTTGCTGATATTGTCAGTCAGGCGGTACTGTTCCTTTGCCCTCCGTAATGCTTAAATTTGTACCGAAAAATTTGCGAAAGTTAGGTTCCGTAAACCTATCTCTGCGTGGACAAGGCCTTCCATTAATAAGAAATGAACGAAACAATTATGAAAGAACAATCATAAATGTGGTTCAATCATGTTTGGCGCAATGCGTGAAGTATTCCGACAGTCTTGTAGGCGCTATGCCTTTCACGACGACCGCTGCTGAACGCACTGTGTTTGACGCAATGCGTAAAGTATTCGTGCAGCCTTGCAGGCGCTATGCGTTACACGGCGACCGCTACTGACCGCCCTGTGCACTGGAAAAAAACCACATTGGATCTAGAGTCTAGACTCTTGAAAACAGTGACAAGAAAAAATACTCTCGATTCAATCAGATTTTTGCTTAAATCAAAAGGAAATCCGCTCAAATTAAGAGGCTTGGTTCTTGATTTAAGCAAAAATCCGATTGAATCAAGAGTAGTTTTTCCTGTCGATGTTTTTAAGAGTCTGGACTCTAGATCCAATGTGTTTTCTTCCAGTGCACAATAGTGGTTAAAGTAGCATTTTTGTGTTGTGAAATCTACGTTTGCATATTGCAGTCACTTTTTTAGGAATTTAATTATTAAATCAGCGATTTAATTTTGTCCGTGCTGGGTCGAGTTTCGCGACCGGGTGACTTACCATCGATATTAGAGTGCGGGAGAGAGTACTGATGAAAATACTCGTTGGAGGCCCCGCCATCGACGGGGACCGGCAGCGGGACGGACATGGGGACGGAGTTGAAGGAGGGCTTGAGGAAGGGCTCGTTCTGGAAGGCGCACATCCAGGAGACGGGGTCCCTCTCGAAGGGCGCCCCTCCCGCGGCCGAGACGGGCGTCGGGACCGGGGCGTGAGGGTGGTGGCCGCCCGTCGGCGCCCCGTACTCCAGGTTCCCGCTCAGGCCCGCGTAGTGGTACGTGTTGAACGACGGAGAGACGCAACTCGGCGCTGAGGAGTAGTCGTTCTGCACCTGGTAGCCCTAGAACAAGAAGAAAATTGATATGAGATTATATAAAAGCATTATCATGCACTGGGAAAAAACACATTTTATCTAGAGTCCAGACTCAACACAAAGGTTTGGTTAACAAGGGAAGTAAAGCACCAAATAACCACAATCTTCGACTGACTCTAGGATTTCCCAATGTCTCCATTGTTTTCTGCGCAAAATTCACCGCAAATAGTACCAAAGGGTAGTACGCACAAGGGTTGGTTTGTGTTTCACTTCTTTACTGACCAAAATTAGCACAGGAGCACAAATATTTTTATCAGCACTGGAAAAAAAAAACACATTAGATCTACAGTATAGACTCTTGAAAACATCGACAAGAAAAAATGCTCCTAATTCAATCGGATTTTTGCTTAAATCGAGAACCAAGTCTCTTAATTTGAGCGGATTTCCTTTTGATTTAAGCTTAAATCTGATTGAATCAAGAGTCCATTTTCTTGTCAATATTTTCAAGAGTCTGGACTCTAGATCCAATTTGGTTTTTTTTCCAGAGTATTTTTTATTATATTTCTGATATGGGAAATAGTATAAAAATAGATTTAAAAGTGAGAAAATGCACCGCCTGGTGACGTCATAGGGCGGCATTTCCCATTTAAACACACGTATTTTAGCAGATTAGATCATTTTGTCATATCTTCTCCACATGCATACACTCACGATGAAAAATATAATGGAGCACATCGAAAAAACAAGCATGATACAACAATATCAACATGTAAGTAGCTCAAATTGCATACTCACAAAAGAAAGGAGCGCTTATTTTTAACGTCTTAGCTCAATTATTCATAGGTACGCGCAGGGCCGGATTTTCCCACTTGCCGCCCATGGGCCGCCTGTATTTTGCCGCCCACTTCTCATTCATTTTGAAAAATCAATAAAAACCATCAAGTGAACGTGCCAGCGGGGGAGGGGTGCATAAGACGCGTTTACTCGTGTTGAACACATTTTTAGGGAAAGCCCTGTCAACACTACTAGCAAAAGGTCACGGAATTTTGCGCGAAAGTCAAGTTTCGTAAACCTATCTTTAATGGACAAGGCCTTCCATTCATAAGAAATGAACGAAAAAATTATGAAAGAACCAACACAAAATTTCGTTTGATGATTTTAACTTCCGCCGCCGCGTCGAGCCGACCGCACCATGTTTGGTGCAATGCGTGAAGTATTCACGCAGTCTTGTAGGCGCTATCCGTTTCACGCTGACCACAATAACCGCACTGCGTTTGATGCAATGCGTGAAGTATTCTCGCAGTCTTGTAGGCGTTAATATGTGTTACATGCCGATTGCCGCGCCGAGGGCTTCTCCTTTTCATCTCAAGTCCTCGTCATCATTTCTCCCTAAGTCGCGCCGTTCCAGACCAAATTGTGTGTTCGGTTTCTCTCTTAACTCGACTAATTAAAGGTGCTGTCTCTTGTATCACTGAAAGACGACACAATTAGAAATTACTATACTCTCCGGAAATGAGAGATTTTGTAGCCTTTTCTCGTTTGTATTTTTTTTTTTCTTCTAAATCCGATTTTTTTTTTATTCCTACAGTTAAAACAATTGCAAAATTTGCCGCCCCTTAGATTTGCCGCCATGGGCCGCGGCCCATGTGGCCATCCCCTTAATCCGGCCCTGGGTACGCGTATTTAATAACAAATTATAATTCGACAACGTTGAAACTGCAAAAAACGCGTATCTATGATCAGCGCGCTGCGGACTAACTCATAATTTATTTTCGTAATGAGAAAATACTCAACGTCAAATCGTGAAAACTTCAATGATTATTCTACCCTCCACAGTGGGTATTCTTAGAATATTTCAGGCAGTTTTCAAGTGTTGGTTTGTGTCTCGGATGAAATAAAATGAGAGCAACAATTTTGAAACACCATAAACGCGTATTTGCAGTTTCACCGAAGTCGATTTGTAAATATCGCCATTGAGTAAGTACCCATGAAAATGGGCCTGTTGCAAACTTTTGCTAGAGCAAAACTAAGAGTTGTTTCTTATAGATAATGCCTCAAAAATCACGATGAGCGCATCGGCAAACTCTGAAATGCACTCATAACTTCACAAACTGCGTAAGAAATTTGCGGTTTTTTGAGCTTCCCGCTTCAAAAGCGATACTACGGCACAGGTGAACATTTTGTAAGAGGAGTCGTTCCATCGTCGGCAATAATCATCATGGCCGACGCCAATCCGCCAAAACACGTTTGATGGGACGAGATAACACCTGAACTGGATTAGACCAGATAACAATCGGTGTGTTAACGTTCATATTTTCCACGCCCGAATTGATTGACCTTGAACTCTCCTTGAATTACGCGCGGAACTGCGTGCAAGCGTCAGCCATGATGAATATCGCCGACGATGGAGCGACTCCTCTAACAAAATGTTCACCTATGCCGTAGTATCGTTTTTGAAGCGGGAAGCTTAAAAAAACGCAAATTTCTTACGCAGATTGTGAAGTTATGAGTGCATTTCAGACTTTGCCGATGCGCTCATCGTGATTTTTGAGGCATCATCTATAAGAAACAACTCTTATTTTTGCTCTAGCAAAAGTTTGCAACAGGCCCATTGAAGTAGCGCAAAAGCAAGATGGTAAACGCCCTTCATTATTGTGAGTATGCAACTTAAGCTCCTTGTCTATACGTCGATATAGTTGTACTTTGTAATAATATCGCAATGGTGAGCCTCACGACCTTCACAGTAGAGTATCGAAACGTTAAAACTCGTTTACGTTGGTTCGTAAAAAGAGATGAGGCCGCCGAAAGGTTTCATTGACGTTTTTAGAAAAATGCTGCCATCGATGATTTATGTGACAACGTTTTCATAAGGATGGATTTTATTTGTTTAGTACTATGGACATCAGCATACAATTTGAGTGTTATGAGTGGTTTCACGGAATGAAAATTGTAAAAAGAGGCTGCCGTTTCAAGGCCGTTCAAGGCCGCAACATGTGCCAATATTGTTCATCTATTAAAAAAAAAAAAAAAAATTATTAACTGGACAGCCACGAAAACGTGATTACAGTGAAAATCCTCTCATTCAACTGACCTAATTTTGACGTGAGACTCTAGACTTGATGCGCTAAGTTTGTCTTGGGTATCATTTCTTACGGTAATCATGAATTTGTTTACATACAGAGTGTCCTGAGTTGTCACTCAACATGAGTTGTCGATGTAAAAAATAATAAAATGTTGACGATTGAAGGTCACACTGGTCACACGCAGCTATGCACAAAATGTGTTGAACACAGGTCATTTTTACCATCCAAAGATGTTGCAATTTTAGTATTACAATGTTAGTGTTAAAATGTAGTTTTACAATGTTAGTATTTTGGACCCTTTGTTCCCTTCTTAAACTCTCTCCCAGTTTCTGTGGAACCCCACATTTTGACGTGCACGCGGACAGAGAATTCTTAAAATTCGCTTTCGCGGTAAGTAAAAAAATTGCTAAAATCTCCAATTTATCAACGGTTCATGTCGTGAACTTCAACACTGACATACCGCTGGAAAACTTTTTCAAAAGATTGCACCATGAGGCACTATTAACAGTTTCAGTCGATCAGAGTGATGTAAAATCATTCTTCAACAATGATCAGTCGAAAAACGTCCTGTTCTTCGTCAACAGCCTCAGCGAAATTTTTTCTTTGATTCTCAACTCACCATCATATTACGATCGATTCGCCGTAAAGAATGAATCTCAAGGGGGTCAAAATTCATCCTTAAAAATGTGCAAATTACCGAAGTATTGCATTGGGATGAGCACGAGCGATTTCCGAAATAGACCGCACTCGAAAGATTTCTGCGATTTTAACTTGTTCATATCATCAGAGGAGCTACAGGATGGATCAGTGCTTACAGATCGCACATTCAACCACACCAGAGGCTTGTTCATGAATGAACTTTGGAACCACAAGAACTACATCATCATTGTAATTTTGGGCTCACAAAAGGAATGGTTCAACGATGTTCGCAGTTCAATAAAGTTACAAGAGCGATACCCGGATCAGAACTTGAGTGACACCGAGATGGAGAGAAACACGTATCGATATTTGTCCTTCACATTTCAGTTTTTCTGGCGCTTTTTCAAAGGCCAGAAAATAACGATCTGCTGCGAGTGCACCTGCCATTGGTACGACCCCTTCGGTAAAATACTTTTTAGGTACCCGGATGAGAGTGGAAGGGATTTCTTCGAAGGTGCCAAGCAGAAACTGATCGGGAGGTAGGTACGTTTTCGACGGCGTTGGTAAAATGACCAAGGAAATTTATGAGACCTTTGAGTGGGAAGCATTGCTGCACTATGCGACAGATTTCATGTTAATGGACACAGACGATTTTAGCCTCTTTTTCGGCGATTCGCTGGGTTTCGATATCGATCAGAAATACGACATAAACTTGCACGTGCTGACCCCCGACTTCAGTTTCGGAATTCTCGACGAGAGCCTCTTCGATCATACGACAGCGGTCGATACGTGCACTGTCTGCCTGGCGATTCCCCGCGCCGGGTTCATGCCGCAATATTTAGCGCCCTTCAATTGTTTCACTCACACCGTGTGGCTCCTCATGATTACAACAGTTGTAGCAATACTCCTCGTCCAAAGTGTATTCCAATACACGCAACATACAGCGTTTCGAGGGTTGTATTCAGAGCGAGACGCTTCCGTGTTCGAAGCAACATCGGCTGCACTCACCGTCTACGCTTACTTCATATGCGGTTCTCCGTTCAGAGTTTTGTTGGGCCGCTTCGTCACGGGAAGAATTATCTTCCTCGTGGTGGCGTTCGCAGCGCTGATCATCGGCACGGTTTTCACGAACGGGATGGTGACCCTCTTGAGCGAGCGAGTTCGATATGCGGATATCGATACTATAGACGAGCTGAGGAGATCGGATATACTCATCCAGTCACAAGACATGAATATTCAGGCTGAGTTTCTCGATGAGTACGTTGAGTACAGCGAACTCAGCCGTAAACTCATTACGAGTAGTGGGTATTACAGCGCATTCATTGAGGAAATGATCATCGGACACAAGAAGCTTATACATTCTTTTTATGACCTGACTAGTGGCTATGATTTAACTGGAATCGAAGACCAAGCGTATATCGATAGAGTGCAGCAAATTCTGAAGAGTTTCACACTGGCTGCCGAGTCGGATGCGTTTATTTTCAGCATCCCGAATTTCCTGATCTCGCACCAAAACTTCTGGGTGCAGCCGAAGGGTGCTCTCAGACCGGTGCAGTATCACCACGTCAAAGAGTGCTTTCTGACGTACCCGATGACGTTCCGGATTTTAAAGAACTCTATTTACTCTGACACGCTCAGTCGGAGGATCTCTCAATTCGTCGAGAGTGGGCTGGTGAAAAATCTACAATTCCTGTACGAGGGCGATTGGAGACATTTTTCGGCTCCCGAGTTCAACGAAGACTTGCCGAGAGTTTTCGACCTGAGGGATCTGCAGTTGGCGTTCATTGGCTTGAGCCTCGGCCTGCTGGTCAGCTACTTCGTGTTTGTCGCGGAACTTTTGACGGATCTGTTGAAGCACTGAGTGAAAATATTGCGACGGTAGAATATTGAGCAAAATTAGAGAATGGGTGGAGTTTAATTCACAGTATTTCGGACTGATTGTGAGTTTGGGGAGAAGACCTGTAGTCGTTCCTTAAACTTTGGGGAAATCTTAGACAGTGTTGTAGTTGCTGCTTTCAGGACCGGATTAAGGGGGTGGCCACATGGGCCGCAGCCCATGGCGCCAAATTTTGCAATTTTTTTAAATGTAGCTATAAAATAATCGGATTCAGAAAAAAATTATCCATGAGAAAAGGGGACAAAATCTCTCTTTCCTGAGAGTATGGCAATTTCTAATTTTGTCGTTTTTCGGTGATACAAGAAATAGCATCTTTAATCAGTAGAGTGAAGAGAGGAACTAAACACGCAATTTCGCCTGAAGCTCAACGCACAGAGAGGAATGATGACGAGGACTTGAGATGAAAAAGACAAGCCCCCGGCGCGGCGATCGGCATGTAACACATATTAGCGCCTACCAGACTGCATGAATACTTCACCCATTGCGGCAAACACAGTGCGGTCAGGAGCGGTTGGCGTGAAACGTACAGCGCCTACAAGACTGCAGGAATACTTCACGCATTGCGCCAATCACAGTACGATCAGCGCGGCGGCAAGGCGGCGGAAGTTAAAATTATTAAACCACATTTATGTTTGTTCTTTTATAATTTTTTGGTTCAAATCTTGTAAATGAAGGACCTTGTCCACATAGAGATAGGTTTACGGAACTTAACTTTCGCGAAAAGTTCCGTAAAATTTTGCTAGTAGTGTTGACAGGGCTTTCGCAAAAAATATATCAAACACGAGTAGGTATACGTGTCTTATGCACCCCTCCCCCTCCGGCACGTTCACTTGATGGTTTTTATTGATATTTCAAAACGAATGAGAAGGGGGCGGCAAAATACAGGCGGCCCATGGGCGGCAAGTAGGTAAATCCGGCCCTGGTTGTTTTTAAGTATTTCTCACAAGAAATGACTCACAATTTCGAAATCACAATGATACTGTCAGGAGGGTCGAAGAGTAACTCCAAACTTCACCATTTACGTGGAAAATTGGCGCATTTCTCGAGCTTCTCAATTCGACGCGTATTTAAAATTATTTAACATTTTAAAACGTAATATCCTCTGCCAGCGCCCATTTACTGATCTGCGTAAAGTTTTAAAGTACTGTGGCACACAGTTATCAAATTTTGTTTTTGACGTATTATATTTGAAGCCGAAATCTCAGATTTCCGCAAATTGTATACTGTGCTCATTATAAAGAAATAAGTAAATTTCAGGCTTCCCATAAGTCATCGGCATGATTTTTGCGCCATTTTCCATAAAAATCTAGTTATTAACCCTCTAGTGAGAGTTCTAGCAGGCTCATTCTCATAATAGGGGCCCGCCTTCATTTTATCGTAAAGGCAAAATGACCTCAGCCACGTCGAAATAGTTTCTCTATCTTAATCGTTGTTTGTGATCATTTGTAGTCCCTATTCCCGCCAGAGTCGATCAAAATGGGAGTCGGTCCGTATATTCTTTTCTTTTTTGATCAATAAAAATTCGGCAGCATAGCGCAGATGCCTTACTGCTAACAAAAATTTTACGGTTAAGATAAATTGTAACTGAAAAGCGGGTCGATTCTTGAATCGTTATCGAATGAACTTGATAGATAAATCCCTATCTTGGCAATGCTATCCATCGATCAAGGTCATTCGATAGCGATTCAACAATCGAGCTGCATGTATAAGTCGACTTTTCTCGCCTTTCCGACGTTCCTTGCGGTTTTCTTGTGTGTTAAAAATGTGTAGCAGAGCTGAACTTGCCAAATGCAAGGAGTGGTGAGGTCTCATAATTTTCTACCTCATTTCGATCTGTAAATGCTTGCGTTTAGAAAAAGAAAACGCTGCTTGCTATGATACTAGTGGTTTGCTCATTGTACATAAGTTGATTTGTAAAACAAATTCCGCGCAAAAGGCAATGTAAGTCCATTATGCGTGTATATTCGCGCCAGTCTATCTTATAAATTAAATGTTATCTTTAAAAAAAAAAAAAAAAAAAAAAAAAAAAACTCATTAAGACATTTGTTCTTTATTAGAAATAAAGGCAAAAAATATTCCTTTTTAAAAAATAAAATTTTGATGGATACAAATATTCTTTTCTTTAGAATCCAGTATAAGAGTAAACTGACGAGCTCCAACGAACAAACTTTTAATTACTTTTTTCACTTACTTACTTTACTTACTTACTTATTTACTTTTGTTACTTACTTTTAATTACTTCCCAGCCTTTAATTACAATAAAGTTCGAAAACTTGCAATTAGTCACTTTCATCCTTCCCAAATTCCCATCTCTGATTTCTCGTCAAATTCTAGTCATTTCTAGTCATCTCTCTTCCGTAAACATTGTTATCTTCAGAGAGATCATGGCTATGGTCTGACATAACGTGACATGATCTGTTGATAATACGGCACACTGATGCCGTTTTGATGCACATCGTCGACGTCCCTACATCTACGAAGTCCCAACTAAACACGACAGTTGTAATCTTTTCACATCATTAGACTCACGTCGCACGTGTGTTGAACCTCAATTTTTTTTTATTTGTGCGATATTTTTAACATCAAACTGCGCAATATCATACTACAGCTCATATTTAGTACATTTCCTCTTCCGAAACTTTTTTCCCACCATTTTATTCCCCCGACAACAATTTTTTTTCAAATTTATTTCTTGTTTCATTTTCCTTGCAAGTTATAAAGTTCTGTTCCAAAAAAGTCGACCTGTGATGATTATTGATACCTCACATCGAAAGGAAGTTTGATCCTTAGAATCTGACAATCAGCCGAGGTAACACAAATCTTTTTTTGACTTTCTACATTCTAACACCAACTAGGCATTAATACGATATTAGGTGGATGTCATATATCATAAATGAATTGACTGTCAGGATTTTTCGAAAGTTTCCATAGAAGATCTTAATTTGTCTCCGAATTCCCAAATTTTGGACCACTGTGCGATGAAAATTTGAACACAGTGTATTTGAACATAAGCTGAACACAATTTAATGCATTGAGGACCAATCGAAACATTGTTAGTCATGAATTCTGCAGGAAACCAACAATTTTACTTCCATTTTTAAAAAATTTGACAAAGATTCCAGATTTGTTCACGATTTTTACCCATTTTGGACCACTGTGCGGGCGAAATTTTTAAAGCTGAACACAGTTAAATGAACGGACGCCCAATAAGAATATTTACAGCCAAAACCCATCAACGTTATAATTTTTACGTCCATTTTCCCCGTCTTTTTGCTGTAAAAGCACTGTCAAGAATGATGGCGATTTGGCAACTTTGCCTGCCCCCTCCATTTCTCAAAAACCGCGCGCATACTTAAGCTAAAATTTTTACCAGAGTTTTAGGGTATCACATAAGGTATCGTTTGGGCCCGGTTTCCGGAAAATTCCCGCGGTCCCAATTGTGCCAAAAAACTGTCATTTTTAGGGTTGCTTTTCGCGATTTTTTAAGCTTCTCACTCCAAAAACGATACTACACTACCATTCTGGGGAAAACGCCGCATGAACTTCCAGGCGTTGCTAAATTTTTTTCCATAAAACACGAATTTCCTGGTAAGTTTATGAATATTTTTCTTCCAGCTTTTCAGATAATATATTGTTCGCAATTTCACACGAAGTTCCTGAAAATTTCAAGGAAAAATATTCATAACTTTCCCCAAAAATAAACATTTTATTGAAGGAAATTTGGCAACTCTCGAATGTCCATACGGCGTTCTTCCTTAGCTTGGCGGTATGGCCAGAGACGAGAGACCCTCCACTGGCCTCCTAGCGACAGGTGGAAGTTTTTACTTTCGGGGTTTCAACAATTCCTTTTGGACAATTACTAGGGAGCAACAGTCATCACCCTAGTTTCGGCTGTTGACTTACCTACATGGTCGATGCTGAGCTTCGGATGACGTCATGCACCGAACAAGTTTCCCAAACGTCGGCCATTTTCGGCTTGTTTGCAAAACGAAACTGCCAACACGTTGTTGAACATTAACCATGTAGGTAAGTCAACAGTAGAATGCTGAAGTCCCGAAAGTAAAAGCTTCCACAGTGGCCAAGATACCAGTAGCGGGTCTCTTGTCTCTGGGTATGGCACAGATGAAGTTTACCGGTCATTTTACGGGTCTCACCTGCATTTGCTCGTACTGGTTGACGGTTTGGAGCATGGAGTTGACGTTGGCGGCTCCGACGTTGGGCGCCATGAAGACGGAGGGGTGAGCGTGCGAGTGAGAGTGCGGGAGCTGGTGCTGGAAGGGTTGGCACTTCTTCTTGTAGCCGCGCGGTCTGCGCCGGTAGGAGCCGTCCTCGAACATGGACTCCGAGGCCGGGGAGACCGTCCAGTAGTGCCCTTTCCCCGGACGCCCGATCCCTTTCGGTAGTTTGATGAAGCACTCGTTCAGGGAGAGGTTGTGACGCACAGAATTTTTCCAGCCTGTTAAACAAACGATTTAATCAGCACTGTGAGAAAAAAAAACTAAGAAGTGGCCCGAACTAGAGTACCTATAATGAGAGAGTATGGCCACTGGTGTTACCACCTCTGATTGGCTCAGCCATCTTAGGGTGAATGGACCCTTAGGACCCAAAAATGGCGGACGCCATAAATTAATGTAATGCAAAATGACTCAAAATGTAGTTTTCTTTGCTTATCGTAACGAGAAATTTACCCAAATGCACTATTGCGAATTATTTACATATTTTTAGGGCTAATCGTGTGCAATTTTTGAGAAAAATTATCTGAGCTCGTATGACCCGAGGCATGACGCAAAAGTGTGATCCATCTACCGTCGCTGCTGAACAACTCCCATAACAAAACAAGGAAAACTCGAAAAAAGCACGGTGATGCACCGGCACAAAACTGCCGCCCACAGCAAAAACACCGTAGCTCCAACTCAAAAGGTTTTCCTTGTTTCCAGTGCGTGCTGCTTTATTACAAAAAAATTCAATTGCCACATAAGGCTTCATTTTTTCATGTTTAGCTCCTAATGGCGTAACGAAGTTGTACTGCAAAAATGAGGGATGAAAATGTGTTAGGTTTTTTGTAAAACAGAATTTCGTCAGAAAAAAATTGTATAAGTGTTGAATGGAGATTCGGCATTTTTGCTTTGGACGGCAGAAAAGTGGGCTTGAGGTAAATGGACCGCGTTTAGCAGAGAAGAACCAAGCCACATTAGCGTTTGCCGAATTTGAGTTAGGATTTTAATCTTTTACAAGAGGACGTGTGTAAGAATGGAGATGTTTCATGTGTGAGGGATTTGCGATTTTACCATTGATTCTTATGTAAAAGTTCGCGAGAAACACGATGGTGCCACTGGTTTTCTCTGAAATCATCTCCTAAGCTCAAAAAAAGCTCTCAAAGTGAGGCCAAAATGGAGGGGATATCCCACCCTACCCTGAGAGTCCACCTCTACATCAAGACAAACTCTCCATGCAAAGATAGGGAGCAAATACATTAGTAGGATTGCCACTTTATTTGGGGACTCCAAGACTGAAAACACAACAACCTTGCGAATGTATTTGCTCCCTATCTTTGCATGGAGAGTTTGTTTTGATGTAGACGTGGACTCTCAGGGTAGGGTGGGATATCCCCTCCATTTTGGCCTCACTTTGAGAGCTTTTTTTGAGCTTGGGAGATGATTTCAGAGAAAACCAGTGGCACCATCGTGTTTTTCGCGAACTTTTACATAAGAATCATTGGTCAAATCGCAAATCCCTCACACATGCAACATCTCCATTCCTTTGGAAATTTTAGGGAATTTGCTTGGTACTAGTTATGCAGACAATTTACTGAAATTTGCAACAAAATCCACACAATCGTCTCAATGTAAAAAATTAAATCGCCCACTTAAATTTGGCAATAGCTGAGTTGACTTGGTTCCTTTCTGCTTAACGCGGTCCAGATGATTTTGACGAGAAGCGGTGATTTTAAACCAATCAGCGCTCAATGCCTGTTGAGCTGTATTTATGGGTTTGAATTTTGCTCAAAAAATTACGATAAAAAGTAAAAATATTAATGAAACCTTGATAGCTCCCGCGGAAAAACTCGTGCTCCTGCTGCAACGACGTATAAATCTCACTCAGCGTCAGCTTCTTCATCGGCGAGTTCCGAATCGCCATGACGATCAACGCGATGTAAGAGTAAGGCGGTTTCTCTTGCCGGCGGACCCCTTGGTTTGACTTGGGCTTGGTCCCTGTCGCTTTGGACCCCTTGGTTCCGGACGCTGGAGCACAGTCGGAAGGCACCGTTGAAGTGGCTTCTGTGGGTGTCGGCAGCCTCTGGTGGTGCAGCACTTCAGCTGACGTTGGTGTTCTTTGGTGTAACGAATCCGTTGGTGTAGGCAATCTAGAATGCAGCGCATCGCTGGATGAAACTCGCGGGTGCAGGCCGTCTGGAGTTGACAGTCGTGTGTGTAACGCATCTGGAGTTGGCAGTCGTGAGTGTAACGCATCTGAAGTTGACAGTCGTGGGTGTAACGCATCTGAAGTTGACAGTCGTGAGTGTAACGCATCTGGAGTTGGCAGTCGTGAGTGTAACGTATCTGGAGTTGACAGTCGTGAGTGTAACGCATCTGGAGTTGGCAGTCGTGAGTGCAACGCATCTGATGTTGGCAGTCGTGAGTGTAACGCGTCTGGAGTTGACAGTCGTGAGTGTAACGCGTCTGGAGTTGACAGTCGTGAGTGTAACGCGTCTGAAGTTGACAGTCGTGAGTGAAGGTTTTCGGTGGGCGTTGGGATTCTCGGGTGAAGGTAAACGTGATGCGAGTGGTGGTGGAGGATGTTGATGTTCTCGTGGAGCACTGTGGTGGTCGGTGCCTCGGCTTTGATCATGCTTGGCGTCATGGCTTCGCCGACGGGAATGTTCGGCCGCTGCTCAGGGCTGTTCGTTTACATTCAGAGCTCGGGCTGAAAGTAGAAATGCGACAGCTGTGGATTCGTGTTGTTCGGTTCTTTTACGGATTATTTAGATTTAAGGTGATTCGATGGACGCCATATTTTGTGTCAGAACGGCATGCGATATATCGCATCAATTGGTTCCATTTTTACAGTTACTCGTCATTTTTCTCCAATTTTGAGATCGCAATTCTGTTGTCAGGAAACTAAAGCACTCACTTACCAATTTTAAGGAAGAAATTCAACGTAATAAAGGCGTGGTTTTTTTTAGAGAGAAGATATTGCATTCGATACTGATATCGAAACTGCACTCGAATGCGATATTTTCTCTCTAAAAAAACCACGCCTTTATTACGTTGAATTTCTTCCTTAAAATTGGTAAGTGAGTGCTTTAGTCTCCTGACAACAGAATTGCGACCTCAAAATTGGAGAAAAATGACGAGTAGCTGAAAAAATGGAACCAATTGATGCGATATATCGCATGCCGTTCTGACACAAAATATGGCGTCCATCGAATCACCTTAATTTATTTGTTGCAACACTACTTCGAGAGAACTTCCAATTATCGGTTTTTGCGATCGAGTGTGGTTCACTTTGTTCTTTGGAACTTGATTAACGGAACTCACTCTTCTTTAGCAAGATTTGCCAATTAGGCTCTACCTTAGTACCACAGATTGCAATATGCAATTGAATCGGGACGTGGGAAAACCGCTAAAGTCCATTTTTCCAGTCTTAAGTTTTCTTTGAGTTCATAATACATTTTGGAGTTGGTTGCAACCATGAAAGTGGCGTTAAAACTCGTCTTCAGGTTTCTTTAATCCCAAAACGAGTCCTTTTATCACCTTTAAGGTTGTACCAACGCTTTAAAATTATTATGAGCTCAAAAAAACTTAAGACTGGAAAAATGGGCATTAGCGGTTTTCGCACGTCCCGAATCAATTTGACGGTTGAGTTATTGCCTCGCGCGTTACTGCATCCCTCAGTAGATACACTGATCGAAGGAATACTTCTAATTGCAATAAAACTCATTGCAATACATATTCGATGATGAAACTACCAAACCACGTACCTCAGTTTGAAGCGTTGTAGACGTCCCGTTATACTTTACTTTTTAAATGAAAAACCACGCAATGTCAATTCCTAAAAGCTCCCGTGACTTTTCTTTTCAGTGCAAAGCAAATTCTGAGGAAATTTCAACAAATTATGATGCTTTGTTCGCCTTTAAGAAAATAAAACAGGACCGGGGATTTTTAGACACCGCAAACGAGATACGTGGTTTGGTAGTTTCATCGTCGTGGCGTCGTATTGCCTATATTTCTGAAACATTGCATGTAACAAGCTGGAAATGATTTTACCTCTTTACTGTGGGTGATCTCATAGATATTCATTACTAGTCATTAAGATAAATGGAGCGAAGTCCTTCTCTTTCTTAATTTGTCCCCTCAAAAACAGGTTTTTTGGCATTCATGACTTTTAACCTACTAAGGATGTCATTTTTTTTAAAACGCATGGCGCGTCTTGATCTCTTTATCATTTAATCTTTTACTTAATGTATAGATATCTAAGTCTTTTTATTGTTGATATTGCATGACGGGTGAAGTAATTGGCTAGTTTTTAACTAAACAGCCATGTTTGTATATATGAACCTTTTGGCAAAATAAAATTTCATTATCATTTAGTTATTAAACTGACCCCTGTCTTTTCAGTGCTTTGTTAATCTATTCTTGAATTTAGGGAAAAGAGGTTTTTTGCGAAAATTTAAATGAAGGGAAAATGGTGAAAATTCTATCTAAATAAGCGACCATTCGATTTTAACCTTAACTTCGTGACACAGGATAGTCTGCGATACACAATACATTTTTCGTTCCAGAACTTTATGGAAGAGATCGGGGTGGAAACTATAAATTAAGTAAACTGACTTTTAATCTTAGACGTTTTGAGAAAAATTGAAAGAAGAATGATGCGCCATCCCTGGAAACAANAAAATTTAAATGAAGGGAAAATGGTGAAAATTCTATCTAAATAAGCGACCATTCGATTTTAACCTTAACTTCGTGACACAGGATAGTCTGCGATACACAATACATTTTTCGTTCCAGAACTTTATGGAAGAGATCGGGGTGGAAACTATAAATTAAGTAAACTGACTTTTAATCTTAGACGTTTTGAGAAAAATTGAAAGAAGAATGATGCGCCATAGTTAAGAGTTCATGCCGTAATTCGTCGCTCCTCTGACGTAAGGAAGTATCTTGATTTCCACATGAGCCCCAGAAAGAATGGAAATAAACATAGAACATGACTCACTTGCAAATTCAGATACGCCCCTACGTCAGAGGACCGATGATGGAATGCCCATTAGGCAAAAACGCATATGAATTGCATGGGAGGGGATTTTTTAGTCCATTAGACATGGAAAAAAAGCTTGTTAATGCTATGATTTGGAAATATCATATTCACCCATTCGAATTCTGAAAAATGTATCAGACCAGAGCAAGAACATCATTAGAAGCCATCATTTTTTCCCCTTTAAGGAAAAAATAAACCGTTTCAGTGCTAGGTATGATTGGTTGATGCATTGTGCGAAAAAATGTGCGTGTTTCGTCCCAAAATTAAGAGGATTTTTTGTGGACTATGCTCCATTTTACAGTGGAAGGTCAAATGCGTAAAGCATTAACAAGCTTTTGAAAAACGCTTGAATTGAGTCATCTATTCTACGGCCCAAGTAGCATTTCTCGATGGAAAAATCGCTATATATTGCGGTATCATCGGCGATAAAATCGCCAGGATCATCAACTTCTGAGCGATTATCCTCGATCTTATAAAAACGCGCTTTTATCGCCCGACAGTAAATCGCGATATTTTCGAAAGGAAAATCGCGATGAAAGGCGATTTAATCTCGATTTTATCGACGAAAATTGATCACGATTTTATCGAACCAAAAATTGAGATTTGTAGCGAATTTCCTCCTCTAAACAAAAACAGTCTAAAAGCGTCCATTGAAAAGTTTAGCCCATATATGCGACTCAATTTATTTCAAAATAATTTATTTGAAAGTTAAACCTACACAATACGTAGATATTAATTTTGTATGATTTCTCTGGAAGACGCCCCCCAAAAATCCTCTTTTACAATGGGTGTGTTTCGAGGTTCCCCATTTCATTTCATCAAAAAGACTTTGCTCGAAGTATCACGGTTATACACCCAATTACTTTCGCTATAATCTGGCGATTTTTAATTTGTAAGTTTTCCTGAATTATGACTAATATTTCATAATTCAGTATTACATCGATGGCCAAAGTGCGACATTAAGTATTCCTATTGCAGCGTTTCAAAAATTCCGCTCCTATTTTATTGTTTCGAAAAGAAACAAGCTAACTTCATAGCATGAAATGTATACAGGACAATCTGCCAACGGAGAAAAAGATCCAGGGAAGTTTTTAAAAACTTACATAAGCTAATTTTTCTGAGAAAAAAGGATCGCGTTAATCAGATAGGAACCAAACCACATCAGCTGTTACCAAGTTTAATTGGGCAATCTAATTTTTACATGAGAACGATTGTGCGGATTTTTGGGCAAATTTCAGTGACTTTTCTGCACAGTGCGAAACAAATGCATTAACATATTCAAAGGGATCCGCACAAATGTTCTCTTGTAAAAAATGAAACTGCCCAGTTTTTGGCAATTGTTGATGTGGCTTGCCTCCTTTCTGCTAAACGCGGTCTAAGTAACATGAGGTCTGCATCGTTGCAAACGGATTCACGCGATTTTGCACTTTAGCCGTCGGTATATTGAGTTCTAATAATGCATTGGGATTATCTTCGATCCATTTTTGAATTCGCTACCGAATTAATTCGTAAATTTTATTTTATTTCATGATATTTTATTTTATTGCATTTTATATATTTATACATAATTAGGTTGGTTGCTTACATAATTCACGACGATCAGCAACCAGGCTATACGTCGGGGACCAGGAAACCTAAAATTTTTAAATTAAATTGCTTAAAGAGTTTTAAAATTTCGGTGACTACTATTGGATAATCGGAGCTTAAGGATCATAAAGGCGGAATTTGCTCCCCACAAAAGGATGGATGTTTTGAGGGAGGGAATTTTGAATTTTGATGCGTGTAGCATAGGTTTTGGGCAAGAGAGCAAAATATGGTCGATTTTAAGGGGAGAATGTTGATATAGAGAGCAGAAAGGAACTGGAGATTTTGAAATTAAATGAAAATGAGAGAAAAAAATATGGCCGATTCGCAATCTTGCAATTTGGACTTCGCAGGTGCAGTGTTTGTTGAAGGAGGTGCTATCATATGGCTTAGGTCTTCTTTGAAGTTAGTTTTATTAACAACTAGTCGTGATTAGCTCGCTTTGCGAGCTGACACGTCTAGCCGGGGAGTGCCCCTGGACCCCAGTTCTACGCTTCGCGACGAACTTGCGACTCGCTCCGCGAGCCGCCACCGCCCCGCACAGTTTTTAACATTGATGAGGAGACAACATCTATGTCTTAATCTTCTTTTTCACCAAGTTTTACAGAAATTCATGTTCTAGGAGTCCGGACCGCGTTTTCCTGCGGGGCCGCCATCTTGGATTTGGAAATGTTGAAAATCTGACCAAAAATGCGAGTTTTCCGTCAAAATACACCTCCTAATACCGAATTTCACAAAAATCGATGGATCGGAAGCCAAGATAACAACTTAGACCACGATCGCCATTTTTGATTTTTGAATTTTGAAAATCGGACCTAAAATTCTAATTTCCCGTCGAAATACACCTCCTAATACCGAGTTTCACAAAAATCGATCGTAATCAGGAAGCGATGTAGCATTTTAGACCACGCGCGATCGCCATTTTTGATTATTGAATTTTGAAAATCGGACCTAAAATTCTAATTTCCCGTCGAAATACACCTCCTAATATAAAGTTTCACAAAAATCGATCGATATCAGGAAGCGATGTAGCATTTTAGACCACGGCCGCCATCTTGAATTTTTGAATTTTGAAAATCTGACCAAACATTCTAGTTTCCCGTCGAAATATACCCCCGGATACCGAATTTCACGAAAATCGATCGAACAGGAGCCGACTTAGCATTTTAGGCCACGGCCGCCATCTTGGATTTTGAAATTTTGAAAATCTGACCAAAAATTCGAGTTTCCCGTCGAAAAGTACCCCCGGATGCCGAGTTTCACGAAAATCGATCGAACAGGAGCCGACTTAGCATTTTAGGCCACGGCCGCCATCTTGGATTTTGAAATTTTGAAAATCTGACCAAAAATTCGAGTTTCCCGTCGAAAAGTACCCCCGGATGCCGAGTTTCACGAAAATCGATCGAACAGGAGCCGACTTAGCATTTTAGGCCACGGCCGCCATCTTGGATTTTGAAATTTTGAAAATCTGACCAAAAATTCGAGTTTCCCGTCGAAAAGTACCCCCGGATGCCGAGTTTCACGAAAATCGATCGAACAGGAGCCGACTTAGCATTTTAGGCCACGGCCGCCATCTTGGATTTTGAAATTTTGAAAATCTGACCAAAAATTCGAGTTTCCCGTCGAAAAGTACCCCCGGATGCCGAGTTTCACGAAAATCGATCGAACAGGAGCCGACTTAGCATTTTAGGCCACGGCCGCCATCTTGGATTTTGAAATTTTGAAAATCCGACCAAAAATTCGAGTTTCCCGTCGAAAAGTACCCCCGGATGCCGAGTTTCACGAAAATCGATCGAACAGGAGCCGACTTAGCATTTTAGGCCACGGCCGCCATCTTGGATTTTGAGATTTTGAAAATCCGACCAAAAATTCGAGATCCCCGTTGAAAAATACCCCCGCTTACCAATTTCCTCAAAAATCCGTTGAAAAATACCGCCTAAAACCTTATATTTCGTCTATGAGGCAGTGACGTCACGCAACAGGATTGAACCTGTTCGGCGCGATGCGCGTAAACAACCGCGTATCTCCAATGTTATACTATATGGAGAAACAACTTTTCGCTCTTTCGGGCGTCCTAAGCAGCGGATTTGAGTGGGAATAATTTTAATCAACTCCTCATTACAATAGCTGACCGTGTACCAATTTTAAAGGAAATCGCTTCGGCCAATTTTTATCTAGGGGGGGCATAGTGAGTGGGAACAGCAGCTTTATATAGAGTAATTAAATTTTTAATCTTTTATATATTTCAGCCAAATTAATTTCCTCTTTTATTTCTCTCTCCCCAGCTTCAAAATGGACGATAATCAGGAATCACTACTACAGAAAATCACGGACCTCCACGATCAGATCTCCAACCTGGAGAGCCTAGAACCCTCCGAAGACACCAATCATCTTTTCACGCAACTCGTCCTCACCTGTTTATCACCGATCACCATCGACATCCGGAACCTTCCCCGGAAAATCCAGGAAACGCGATCCAACCTCATCAGACTCTGCTCGGAGGCAGAGAGCCTCCTGGAGTCCCACTACGCCAAAATCATCTCCTCTTTCGACAACCCCATCGACAATCTCCACGTCTTCCCTTACTACTCGAATTACCTGAAGCTCTGCCACCAGGAGTTCACCATCCTCAAACGGCACCAAACCCACGCACCAAAAAAGGTTGCATTCGTTGGTTCCGGCCCACTACCCCTCACTTCGATTTTATTAGCCACCAAGTATCTCACCAACACAGTTTTCCACAACTTCGATCTCAGTTCGATAGCCAACCTGGAAGCAGTTCGATTGGTGACGTCACATCTTGACCTATCCCAAAGGATGGTCTTCCACTCTGCGGATATCCTAGACGTCACGAACGATTTAAAGGACTTTGATGTGGTGATTTTGGCTGCATTGGTGGGTATGAATAGGGAGGAAAAAATTAAGATCATCGAGCATTTGGCAAAGTACATGGCGCCAAATTCTATCCTAATGTTGAGGAGTGCAAATGGAGCAAGGGCGTTCCTCTATCCTATCGTCGAGCCTTGCGATTTGCGGGGGTTCGAGACTTTGTCTGTGTTTCACCCCACCGATGACGTCATCAATTCGGTTGTCATCGCACGTAAGTACTCGACGAGGCCGAGTCAAAAAGGTTTCGGTCCTCTCTTGATGCCGTGCAAGTTTTCCGGCGAGATCAAGGCCTGTGATTTGCTTAAGCGTAAGGGGATTGTTGGGCAGATATCCAGTAGCGATTCTTGAATGTAGGTAATGTACTGGTAAGTACTGTTGAATGTAGGTAATGTAACTAAAACGATCAATTTTTGGTGAGGCATTCGTCTAGAATCGATATATTCGATCGATTTAAATGGATGGAAAACAGTGCTCCCAACTCGCAAAATCGCCACACTGGAAAAAAAAAACACATTAAATCTAGAGTCCAGACTCTTTAAAACATTGACAAGACAAAATACTATTGATTCAATCAGATTTTTGCTTAAATCAAAAGGAAATCCGCTCAAATTAAGAGGCTTGGTTCTTGATCCAAGCAAAAATCCGATTGAATCAAGAGTATTTTTTCTTGTCGATGTTTTTAAGAGTCTGGACTCTAGAGCCAATGTGTTTTTTTCCAGTGCACTACAGATATCTACGGGAGAGTAAATTTTGAAAGAAATTTAATTTAGTAAATTGTGAACACCGCTGAAAGAGGTCGTTCAAGGATTACGGACTTTAAGGTAAATCTACCTAGGGTGTAAGCATCAAGATAGCGAACACATTTTGGCTAAATTTCTGGTTTCACTTTCAATTTCTAGCAAAAAACGGACCCATGGCAGGTTCCGGCTGTTTTCCTCCAAAAATATATTTTGTGAACCCTGAAATTTACGGCTGTAAGTATGCGAACGCGACATATTGCAATTAATTAGCCAAATCGGACAGTTAATTATTGCGTTCATAATTCGTATCGCCGATCTCATAAAAGTGGGGAGTAATGAATAATCCATTATCGACCATTCCCCATTTGAAGCTGTAATAAACGAAATCGGTGTTCCGATTTGTTAAAATTTGCAGTTCAAATCACGTAGTATTAAAAATATGCAAATTAAAGTTTTAAGCCGCAATACTTGGGAGGCTAGAATTACCAAATGATCAAATTTTTGTCCATTGTCGACACAAAAACCTAACCAACTGCTCACGACTATTCTTTTAAATATTATAATAAGTAGCTCCTATCGAAGACCCATAAACCAATTTCTTTATTTGACTGGAGAAACACAGAAATTCCCTATATTTATGGATAAGTTGGTTCTCGTTTGCATGTTTGATTCAGAATGATAAACGAGCGAACGTTCATGTTTATGTAAGTAACCCTCATGTTTGAAAATTAGACCGTGACTTGGACAAGAACAAGCTTTGAAGTATATTGTTTATCAAAGCTTTAGCTGCGAGCCATTTCACTGCATGAGCTGTTACTGAAGTCCTTGACTTACCTAATTTTTTACTTTCATCGAGGCATCCTTGTTAAAGGTTGAATGTAACCTATTTAATCCTTAAAAAATTTCAATTAGGGATCACACTGCAGAATTTAGTACGTTTATTAAAGTCATGTATGTTTTATTAGTTCCTCGACATATCCATTCCAGTTTTTGTTAGTATTCAAATATGTAATCACTCACAAATAATGAAACATTCCAATGAAAATAATAAAAGCTCACGTTTAAAATACAATTTTTTTCTCATTCCTCGCTCAACCCTTTTTCTCCTTCCTTATTTTTTTTTTATTTTTTTTTTTTAATTTTTTTTTGATAATCAAAGGGGGAGGTATGAAAAGGCACCATTTAACCATTTTACTACGTAACGCCAGTCGTCACGTGAGAGGTGAAATATGCTTTTGATTATCTGTTTAATTTTATCTATCTATACCGTGGGGTAAACACTCCTACCGCTGCGGATGTTACACTGGAGCCGCAATTACGCAAAAAATTCCAATGATACATGCAATTTGTTTTCTTGAAAATAGTAAAACAGAATCGGAGATTTTAAACCTTTCTATTGAGATATAGCATTTTCTGCATTTAGCCATCAATATTCTTTATGTACTTTCAGAGACTTAAACGCACGGGGAAAAAAGTTTAAAGGTTTCTTATTTTTTTCATGCGATGGAAACGGTGTACAAACCTGCGTGTTGATTTAGGTCAAATACAAGAAAAGAGAAAGGTAGTGAGTGCAAAAGTAAGAATAATAAAAAAAATAATTAAAAAATGTATTTATGTTTTATAAAGCCTATGTAATTTGGACGTATTTAAATCAAAAGGAAGTGTATACATTCTAACATGAGCCCTGAGATCTATAAGAGTATATGAATGGCAAGACTCATATGTCACAATGACGTAAAATAAAGTTCCTTTTCATTCAAATGCGTCCAATTAACTCTATGGTTTCCCTCTATAACGTAGTGAGTGAGTATTAAAAGCTTTATTCGTAAGAGAAAGACCTTGTCAAGTTGCCAAAAACCTTTTTTTTTTTTTTTTTTTTTTTTTTTTTTTTTTTCAATATATGAATACTTGCGTATTGGAAGTTTATGAATTGAGGCACTGGATGCGAAAAGGGCACTTCTCGATTGCAGTGTTTCAGAATCTCTGTTGCTAATTAAACCCTTGGAGAAGAATTTAACGGGTGATTTTTCTAGAATTCTCTTCATAAAAAATCGTAAAATCATGAGGAATATTCAGGAAAATTCTCAGTGAAATGGATGCATTCACTTTTCTTAAAACGAATGAAATACAAGAGGAGACTCCGTAACACTGCAACCGAGAAGTGTCCTTTTCGCATCAAGTGCCTCAATTGGACCACATTTTGCAACAAGGAACCACTATTTCTGGCTCATTTTGGAAACAACATTTAAGCCATTGGTTTCCCAATGCAGAGAAGTGCTTTTACAGAAGAGCCAGAGATAAGTGGATCCTTATTGCAAAATGTAATCCAATTACCTACTTCATTTAGCTTGCTTAGATTTTAAAATTAAAACATATTTGATTATTTGGTTTTATATCCCGACTATGAGGACAATTTGCGTGCCTAAATTCCTATGATGAAGATACGTCAACTTCCCACCGAAAGTAAGAACAAAATGACAGGCAAAGTGCGTTCTGATTACGTTTCTGCGGAGGAGGCATATAGTATTTGTTGTATTTGTTATTTATGCATCAGAACCACAAATATTTACCGAGACCAAGGGATCCTGACCGAAACATCAACACGAAGGTGATAAAGTGGGGTCGGCCGCAAAGACCGCAACCGGAATCCACAGACACTCCGCGACTCGCACAACACTTAACACCGGCCGCGGGCCCGAAAAATAAATATTTATGAAAAAAAAAAAAAGGAAACCCCGAAAAAAATATCGCGACGGGTAAACACGGCTCGAAGGGGCCCGCGCGAAATCGCGAACCCGTAAACAACCCGAAAAAACTCCAAAACTAGGTAAATAAACTCGAAAGCGGCGTTATGACGGGAAATTGATAACGAAAATATTTAATTGAAATATCATTAATCGCGGAGGCTTCTCTAAACAAACTCCGTCGATGAGCTCCGCGGGTTGTTTAGAGAGGCCCTGGCGCGCTGGGACCCTGGGGTGGCGGGGGGGAGGGATTTTCGGGGGCGGGACCCGGGGCCCTGCCCGCGAGGCGCCCCCTCTTAACCAATCCGGGTAAGAGGTTATTCTTGGATGGTCCGTCAAAATGGCCGGCGCTCCCCCCCCCCCCATTTCCACCCTCCGGTTCCGCGTTGGGATAAATAAATTCCATCGGGCGCTAGGCCCACCGTTGCCGTCACGAACAAAATCTCTAGAACTATATTTTGCAAGTTGGAACTATAAATTCTAGCCCGCACTGGAAAAGAAACACATTGGATCTAGAGTCCAGACTCTTAAAAACATCGACAAGAAAAAGTACTCTCGATTCAATCAGAATCTAGCTTAAATCAAGAAGCGCTTAATTTAAGCGGAATTCGTTTAGATTCAAACAAAACTCCGATTGAATCAAGAGTATTTTTTCTTGTCGATGTTTGCAAGAGTCTGGACTCTAGATCCAATGTGTTTTTCTTTCCAGTGTACATTTTGCTAATTGGAACTATAAATTCTAGCCCGGTTTGAAAACGACGTATGTGCCATTAGTTTCCCTATGCTTACAAGTGTTTTTCCAGAGCCAGAGTTTTGGCCAGAATTTATAGTTCCAAATTGCAAAATGCAGCCCAATTGCAGTACTGATTTGGACTGCATTTTGCAATTTGGAACTATAAATTCTGGCTCTTCTGGAATAACACTTATATGCACAGGGAAACTAATGGCGCAGATGTTGTTTTTAAACCGGGCTAGAATCTATAGGTCCAAATTGCAAAATGTAGTCCATTTGATTGTTGATTAAAAATCGACGACTCCTAGTTACTTTTAAATGAAGTAAATGAGTGCGGCAAGGGTCCCAGGGTCCGTTCATTTCGTAACGCTCTAAATAGCAGTGGCGTGGCGTGCTTTGCGATTTATCGATTGTTATGTCACTTAAACCTGTGGAAAAGGATCGATAATAATCAAGGTGTTCGCAGCGAGCACTTTAATAATCGATTCTTTACCATAGGTTTAAATGGCAGAAGAATCGATGTATCGCAAAGCACGCCACGCCACTGCTAAATAGGGAGTAGGATCGAAAAGAGCGGGACGTCATATTTGAGGGGCTTGGATGAAAGGGCACATAAGTCATTTTTTGCTATTTCAAGAATTACGTGTTCAAATTTTCAAAATTACATGGAACCTTATGGCGGAAAAGAGGTTTAAACTCACTTTTTGACACTTCAAAGTTGGATTTTAGCCGTAAAGTTTTCACAGACTATACTTTCAAGCTAGTTTTAGTCGTGTTCATGAATATCACAATGTTTTCAAAACTGCACTTATGCGCTTTGTCCTCCAAGCCCCTTATTGCGTTTTTACCTGTAAAAATATAGGGACCTACGTTTCCAAAGAGTTTCAAAAACTCGCAAAATTGACAATTTTTAACATAGAAAAAAAAACTTCGAACTCGCAAACTTTAAATTTTAAGCCGTCGCCCCACGCAGTTTTTCAATGGAAATATTTTCACTGAAGTCTTCTTTTCTTGCTTTTGGAGACTTTTCTCGTGAAAAAAAGAAGTTTGATTTTGTGATGTTTCCAATTTTTAATGAGATTTCAATGCACGTGACGAAACCAACTGCATTTGTTTTTTCCCCTGAAATGAGGCGTTTGGTGCAGAAAAGGCATTTCTTGCTTGCGGTGTCTCAAAATCTTCACTGCTAAATCATATTTTAGAGAGGCAACAATTCAGTGAATTTTCTAAAAAGTTTCATATTTAGCCCATTGTAAAATCATGAAGAAAATTTAGTAGAAGTTGCAAAGAATTCCATTCATTTGCTTCAATTATGTAATGGAAGAAACGTTACCTACCAGAGATTCTGAGACATCGCAACCACGAAATGTCTATTCTGCACCCGGCACCTCAAATTTGGTAAATTGATTTTCCTATCTATCCAAATTTTTTCCCTTGCTTTCTATTAGCACGATGGTAAATCTCCAAAGTAATTTTTTTATTTAAGAAAACTGTAAATGAGATCAATTAATTACAATGTAGAGACAACCAGGGCCGGATTTACCAACTTGCCGCCCATGGGCCGCCCCCTTCTCATTCGTTTTGAAACGTCAATGAAAACCATCAAATGGACGTGCCAGCGGGGGAGCTGTGCATAAGACGCGTTTACTGGTGTTGAACAAATTTTTTTAGGAAAGCCCCGTCAACACTACTAGCAAAAGTTCACGGAACTTTGCGCGAAAGTTAAGTTTCGTAAACCTATCTGTGTGTGGACAAGGCCTTCCATTCAAAAGAAATGAACGAAAAAATTATGATAGAATAATAATGTGGATTAATGATTTTAACTTCCGCCGCCGCGCCTCGCAGACCGCACTGTGTTTGTATTCACAATGCGTGAAGTATTCACTCAGTCTTGTAGGCGCTATGCATCTCACGCTGATCGCACTATATTTGCCGCAATGCGTGAGGTATTCATGCATTCTTGTAGGCGCTATCCGTTTCACGCTGCTGTCCGCAATGACCGCACTGTGTTTGATGCAATGCGTGAAGTATTCGTGCAGTCTTGTAGGCGCTGATATGTGTTACATGCTGATCGCCGCGCCGATGGCTTCTCCTTTTCATCACAAGTCCTCGTCATCATTGCTCTCTGCGCCTCGCCGTTCCAGGCCAAATTGCGTGTTTGATTTCTCTCTTAACTCGACTAAGAAAGGTGCTTTCTCTTGTATCACTGAAAGACGACACAATTAGAACTTACTACACTCTCAGGAAATGAGAGATTTTGTCGCCTTTTTCGTTTGTAATTTTTTTTTAAATCCGAATTTTTTTTATACCTACATTTAAAAAAACTGCAAAATTTGCCGCCCCCTATGGATTTGCCGCCATGGGCCGCGGCCCATGTGGCCACCCCCTTAACCCGGCCCTGGAGACAACTAGTATATTTGTTGCATGTTGGCTAAATTTATCTTTACCGGTCATAAGAAACAAACCGGATCCAGGAGTCAAGGCCCTAACTCTATGCCCCAGATTTCATGATTAAGTTAATTTTCTGTGGTATGCAGTGATATTGTTTCCTTTTGGACCACCACTCTTGCAATACGACACATATTAAATGCACATCAAAGAAAAAAAGGGAGGAAAATCGACAGAACCAAAAGTTTCAGGACCAAGAACAAATGGATTGCATTTTGCAAAAAGGAACCACTAGCATTGCAATGATGCTAAGGTTGTGCAACTTCATCCTTTGCTATAAAATTGCGGAAATTGTGAAAAACTATGAAATTTAGATGGTAATTTTTGTCTTAAATTTACAGTTTTTAGCGAGTAAAATAGAAACTATTAAGGGATAATCGGGTTTTTCCTCCAAGACAGAAGAAGTTGCAGTCTTAGCAACATTGCAATGCTATTGGTTCCTTTTTGCAAAATGCAATCCAAATAATTCGAGGGAAACAGAATGTCCTAAAAAAGCAGCATCAACTTTTAAGCAGAGGAATTAACTAGATATATCCTCCACTTTTGGTAAAAATATACTACGTCGCAAATTTTGACATTCGTATCTTTTTCAGAACACATCTTCAATATATTGCACAGTGCCCAACATGGCCATTCATGAAGAAGTTGTGCGAGATTTATAACGAGAAGGATTCCACTTGGCAACCAAGAATGTAGATCCCTCCCGAACCATTGCTTCCTCAATCCCAGCTTTCGTCTGTTTCAGTTATCGGAATTCGTTAGCCGTCTCTTCATGTTCATAAACAAAGATCGCACCCGTTCAATTCGAGATACGTTTTATTTGGAGGACACCGCTCAAAGTTACCGTCTGCTGTGAACTTTCAAATATTTTAAACGAGGCATCGTTCTCATGCATTGGGTTTGGTTTGATGAAATCTGGACACATTGTCAAACGAACCTGCTAAGTATTGTACGTAAAAATAAAAATTAATTTTCTCTGAGGTCTCTCACTGAAAAAAAATTCTCGGCGTTTTTACCAAGGTCCGTTGGTACTTTTACCGTCGCTTTTTTTTACCAATTATTGGTAATTTTACCAAGACAGACTGGTAATCTTACCTAAAAACCGGTATTTTTACTGTTTTTCTCAGGTAAGAATACCACTTTTATTGGTAATCAATTCCCGGTAACTTTGCCATTTTATCTCGGTGATTCTACCACAGTCGATAAAAAATATTGGCGTTTTTACCGGGGTCCAGTAAAATTACCGAGAAAGTCGATAATTTTACCGAGATTTTACCAATTACCAATTCCATGAATGGTAATTTTACCAAGAAAAAACTGGGATCAAATAGAACAATGAATTCTTGGTAATTTTACCATTTTCTTAGTAAATACACAGAGATTTTTGGCGCGTATACGTAGTATACCGCCTTTGCGATCGTTTCGAACCCTGCTCGATACAATAACCGAGTCCCTTAGTTCCTTACCGAAAAGTGACTACCGCGAACTTCTGAGATTTTCCAAAGCGTGTAAAAAGTTTATTTATCCGTCAATAATTATGATTTAAAGTTGTTTCTCATTCTGGGG